ATATTTCAGTTTATTCAAATGATACATTGATAAGGCTTTTATTCATTATATTTTGACAAAATGCAATTTTTTTTATTTTAATCAAAACACTATATTTGCCTATTTCTCCATTTACAACTTTTAGACTTAATCCTGGTTTCGATGTGATGGGTCACAATTTGTTCTGCTATCTGGGTTCTTTACATTGACTTCCAGATAACACTCTACCTTTACTTTTTTGTTTTTTACTTTTGTACCTCAGTATTTAAACAATTTTTGTGTACCTTATTGTAAAGTGTTTCTCTCACCTTAATCCTAAATCAAAACCCTGACCCACCAACAGTATTTGACCCAATGGGGACCGGGCTTCTGTCCCTGTAAGGATCAGTGGGTCCTCAGCAGGTTGTGTTTACCAGGAAAATGGTCAAAAATCATCCCCATTAGGTAAAAACATGTACACACTTTATTTTCTTAAATGTCACGTTATGAAATATCCTTTCGTTGCAGTTTAGCTGCAGGACCAAACTTATGAGAAACTTTGCTGTTTTCAGTTTTTAACCTTATTCAGTTTATTTTTCTTTTAACACGACTGCCTCGTGTCTGGATCTTGTGCCTGTTGTCTCCTTGCTGCTTTCACAGTTCACATTTTCTGCAATGAAAACTGTTTATTACTTTTTATGAGTTCTTTTTTTAACCTTGTTAACATCCTATAAATTGTTAAAGAGTGGTCCATTGGTTTTTGCTCCCTTTTTAATATAGAAACTCATCCTGCAGGTTAGTTTGACCTCATGCTTCTGTAAAAATGTAATTATTTTTATATTCACACAGCTTCGCCTGTCCAGAAACAGAACTTGAAGTCATTTTTGGTGCTGATGGACCGACCAAGAGACTTTCTATTACGTTCAAAATTAACAATTTTAGTGTTCGCTTTAAAAAATAGATGTCTTTCATTAAGACTCTGACTTAACAAGTCATCTGAACATACAAAATAAAAGTTTTATTTGTTAATAAGGGAAATTCTATGGTAACACCACACCTGTGTCGTCATAAACAGAGCTTGGTGTACTGTTTCCCTAAAATAGCAAAAGTTTTCTCACAGATCTGAAGCTTGAACAGGATGTTGGGGCTTTGATCGCAGCACATTCTGTGACAACACAAGAAAAACTCATTAACTATTCCTTTTTGAAGTGCGTGACTTTATCGTATGGGTCTGTTTTCAGCTGCAACTTTAGGCTCATGTTCTCTTTTTTTTATAAAATCATACTGATCAGTTCTGACAAGAGCACAAAAACATGCCCTTCTGAGCCACTGTTATTATTTAAATTGGTGTAAAATCAAATGCTGATGCAGCAATCTGTTATGTCATCTGTAAGTTTGTTAAAATAATCCTTAAATACATTAACTGAGAAACAGATCAGTGAGGCCATAAAAACCATGTAAAAATTTATTTTTTTTCTTTACATAAAATTGATAGTAAAGATGTATAGTATACCTGTATTAGTTCTGCCTGAATAGTTGTACCTGTATTATTTATACTCAGTTACAGCGGGTAAAATAAGTATTGAACACGTCACCATTTTTCTCAGTAAATATATTACTAGAGGTGCTAATGGCATGAAATTTT